CTGTCTCTGTCTGTCTGTGTATCTGTTCCCCTGTCTGTCTGTCTGTGTGTATCTGTTCCCCTGTCTGTCTGTCTGTGTGTATCTGGTCTGTGTGTATCTGTTCCCTGTCTGTCTGTCTGTGTATCTGTTTCCCCTGTCTGTCTGTCTGTGTGTATCTGTGCCTCTGCTTCTCTGTCTGTCTGTCTGTCTGTGTCTGTCTGTCTGTCTGTCTGTATCTGTTCCTGTCTGTCTGTCTGTGTGTATCTGTTCCCTGTCTGTCTGTCTGTGTATCTGTTCCCTGTCTGTCTGTCTCTGTCTGTGTATCTGTTCCTGTCTGTCTGTCTGTGTATCTGTTCCTGTCTGTCTGTCTGTCTGTCTGTCTGTTGTGTCTCTGTCTGTCTGTCTGTTCCCCTGTCTGTCTGTCTGTGTATCTGTTCCTGTCTGTCTGTCTGTGTATCTGTTCCTGTCTGTCTGTCTGTGTCGTATCTGTCTGTTCGTCTGTCTGTCTGTCTTGTGTGTATCTGTTCCCTGTCTGTCTGTCTGTCTGTGTGTATCTGTTCCCTGTCTGTCTGTCTGTCTGTTCTGTGTCTGTCTGTCTGTTGTCTGTCTGTGTCTGTCTGTCTGTCTGTGCTGTTGTGTCTGTCTGTCTCTGTCGTCTGTCTGTCTGTCTGTCTGTGTCTGTTCCCCTGTCTGTCTGTCTGTGTGTATCTGTTCCCCTGTCTGTCTGTCTGTGTGTCTGTTCTGTCTGTCTCTGTCTGTGTATCTGTCTGTCTGTGTCTGTCTGTGTGTTCTGTCTGTCTGTCTGTCTGTCTGTCTGTCTGTCTGTCTGTTTATCTGTTCCCTGTCTGTCTGTCTGTGTGTATCTGTTCCCCTGTCTGTCTGTCTGTGTGTATCTGTTCCCCTGTCACTGTCTGTCTGTGTGTATCTGTTCCCTGTCTGTCTGTCTGTCTGTTCCCCTGTCTGTCTGTCTGTGTATCTGTTCCCCTGTCTGTCTGTCTGTGTGTATTATCTGTGTGTCTGTGTCTGTTCCTGTCACCAATGCTGTCTGTGTGTATCTGTTCTGTCTGTCTGTCTGTGTGTATCTGTTCCCCTGTCTGTCTGCTGTCTGTGTGTATGTGTTCCCCTGTCTGTCTGTCTGTGTGTATCTGTTCCCCTGTCTGTCTGTCTGTGTGTATCTGTTCCTGATAGCTGTCTGTCTGTCGTGTAACCGTGTGTGAAGCCTTGAACCACACCGTGTAACGATCAATCGTGTTCCTGATAACGTGCGATAGCTGTCTTTCTGTCTGCGATAGCGATAGCGGTAGTATCGCAGACTGTCTGTGGCCATCGTTCCTGTCTGTCTGTCTTATCTGTTCCCTGTCTGTCTGTTGTATCTGTGTGTATCTGTTCCCAATGTCTAACATTGTCTGTCTGTGTGTATCTGTTCCTGTCGCGATCTGTTCCTGTCGCGATGTCTGTCTGTCTGTGTCTGTTGATCGTGTCGCGATATACGATATATTGTGTATCTGTTCCTGTCTGCTGTCTGTGTGTGTCTGTTCCCCTGTATCTTGTCTGTCTTATCTGTTCCCTGTCTGTCTGTCTGTGTGTATCTGTTCCTGTCTGTAACGATATACTTGTGTATCTGTTCCTGATAAATGCTGTCTGTATTATTATCATGTCTGTCTGTCTTATTATTGTATCTGTTCTGTCTGTCTGTCTGTGTGTGTGTATCTGTTCCCCTGTCTGTCTGTCTGTCTGTGTCTGTCTGTCTGTCTGTCTGTGTGTATCCTGTTCCCCTGTCTGTCTGTCTGTGTGTATCTGTTCCCTGTCTGTCTGTCTGTGTATCTGTTCCCCTGTCTGTCTGTCTGTGTGTATCTGCTTCCCCTGTCTGTCTGTCTGTGTGTATCTGTTCCCTGTCTGTCTGTCTGTGTCTGTCTGTGTATCTGTTTCCCTGTCTGTCTGTCTGTGTCTGTGTCCCTGTCTGTCTGTCTGTGTGTTACGTGTCCCTGTCTGTCTGTCTGTGTATCTCTGTTTCCTGTCTGTCTGTCTGTTGTATCTGTTCCCCTGTCTTGTCTGTCTGTGTTGTATCTTGTTCCCCTGTCTGTCTGTCTGTGTGTTCTGTTCCCCTGTCTGTCTGTCTGTCTCTGTCTGTGTGTATCTGTTCCCCTGTCTGTCTGTCTGTGTATCTGTATCTGTCTCTGTCTGTGTATGTTCCTGTCTGTCTGTCTGTGTGTATCTGTTCCCTGTCTGTCTGTCTGTGTGTTTCTGTTCCCTGTCTGTCTGTCTTAATAAATATCTGTTCCCTTGTCTGTCTGTCTGTGTGTATCTGTCTGTCTGTCTGTCTGTGGTATCTGTTCCCCTGTCTGTCTGTCTGTGTATCTGTATCTGTCTGTCTGTCTGTGTCTGTTCCCTGTCTGGTCTCTGTCTGTCTGTCTGTGTGTATCTGTTCCCCTGTCTGTCTGTCTGTGTGTACTGTTCCCTGTCTGTGTGTGTGTATCTGTTCCCTACATCTGTCTGTCAACAGTGTCTCTGTCTGTGTCCATATATGTGTTTAATTTGTCGTCCATGACCTTTGTGTGTGTGTGTGTGTGTGTGTGTGTGTGTGTGTGTGTGTGTGTGTGTGTGTGTGTGTGTGTGTGTGTGTGTGTGTGTGTCATTCCCTCGTTCATGACACGAACAGACAGACATGAACAGACAGGCTGGGCACTGCACACTTCCCCTCCACCACCATCATCTTCCATCATCAACTCTTTTCAGTCATCCCTTTTCCCCCCTTTCTCCCCTCCTGGCACCCCTCCCTCCTCTCCCGGCACCCTTCCCTCCCCCTGGCACCCTCCCTCCCCTCTTGGCACCCTTCCCTCCTCTCCTGGCACCCCTCCCTCCTCTCTTGGCTCCTTCCCTTCCCTCCCCCTGGCACCCCTCCTCCCCTCCCGGCACCCTTCCCTCCCCCGGCACCCCCTCCCCTCCTGTGCCCCTCCTCCTCTCCCGGCACCCTTCCCTCCCCCTGGCACCCTTCCCCCTCCCCTGGTACCCTTCCCTCCCCTCCCCCCTTCCCTCCCCTGGCACCCCTCCCTCCCCTCTTGGCTCCTTCCTCCTCTCCTGCTTCCCTCCCTCCTCTCTTGGCACCCTTCCCTCCCCTGGCACCCCTCCTCCCCTCCCGGCACCCTTCCCTCCCCTCCCGGCACCCCTCCCTCCCCTCTTGGCACCCCTTCCCTCCTCTCCCGGCACCCCCTCCCGGCACCCCTCCCTCCCCTGTACATGAATTACCATAACTAAATATTGGACTTCCATTAGTTGTGTAAAATGGTGTTTACCCTTCTGGCTCTACCCGTGTTTTAAAGCGAGTCTCACCTTAGCAATTTGTTTGTTTTAGCGCTTCGTTTTTCCTGTGATTTAGTTGGGTTATTTTCGTGTGTGTGTGAGTGTGAGGGGTGTTTGTTGTGTTGTGTGTGTGTGTGTGTGTGTGTGTGTGTGTGTGTGTGTGTGTGTGTTTAGGCAATATTTTTTCTCTTGTATCTTTTCCCTTCATTTATTTATGTATTTTTGTATTGATTGTTAGTTTGTCTTCCCGTTTTTTATGTCATTTCTCCTTTTCTCTCGTGATTTCGTCCTCCGTTTTCTTTGATGGATCACTTAAATATTTCTGACATCTTATTTCTCTTTTCAGTTCCTTTTTTTTATCAACTTTTATTTAACCAAAACGTTTCCATTTTCTGTGTTTATTTTCCATCACTTATCACCCATTTTTTATATCTTTTATTTATCTTTGTTTTGTCATTACTTTACACGTCAATTTTTTTTTTCTCTCTCTCTCTCTCTCTCTCTCTCTCTCTCTCTCTCTCTCTCTCTCTCTCTCTCTCTCTCTCCAGTAATACCCACAGTACCATCACCACCTCACGCCACACCATGTCCCGACCACTACATGTTATTATCACCCTAGTGGGAAATGTGAGACTATATTCTGTTAAGATGGCAAGTGAACATGTCCTCCTCCCAACTGTTGGTGATGTGAGACTGTATTTAATGGATTCACTCAAGTTACGACCTAAGTGTGGAGTGTCTTAAAGATTCGTGAAGTTATTAGTTCATCTAGATTTCAAAGTGTGAGATTGTGTTTGGATGGACTCACTTAAGTTACGAACCTTTGAGAATCCAACGTTGTGTAAGAGAATCATTTAGAATGGATACCTCACACCGTCGCCTTCCCCCCTTCTTCTTCTCCTCTTCCTCCTCCTTCTTGTCCTTCTCTCCTCCTTCCTCCTTCCCTCCACCCTCCTCTGCCTCTTCCCCAACTCCCCTTCTCCTCCCCACCTTCACCCATCCTATCCTTCTCAACCCCACTTCCTCAACCTTCTTCCCCTACCTTTTCCTTCTCTCTTTCTCCTCCCTCTTTCCCTCCCCCACCCCCTCCTCCCCTTCCTCCTCAGCCCCCGCTTCCTCACTCTTCACCATCCCAATCCTCTTATTTCCCCTTCCTCTTCCTTCTTCCCCCACCCTCTCCTTCTCCCTCCCTCTTCCCCTCCCCTCACCTTCCTTTCATCGCATCCCCACCTCATTTTCCCCTATTTATTCAACCTTCTCCATCCCATTCTCCAATTTTCCCCCTTCCTCTTCCTTCATCCCCTTCCTCTCTCCTCCTCCTCCCCTACCTCCTCCTCCTCTCCCCCACATCAATGTTTTATAGAGCAGCGCCAACATGCCCCCGCATAGGAACTCGGTGTTTAGTAATACTGCCAGAATTTCAATTTCCACTTTTAACTCGAGAGGAGAAAATGACAAAAAAAAAAAATCTTGACGCGTTCTCTTGGGAAGCCCGTCCAGATGTGGTGATTTTCTTGAAGGCCGTCTCAGATGTGGGGATTCTTGTAGTGGTTGTCTCAGGGATTCTTGTAGTGGTTGTCTCAGGGATTCTTGTAGTGGCCGTCTCAGATGTGGGGATTCTTGTGGGGGCCGTCTTAGATGTGGGGATTCTTGTGGGGGCCGTCTCAGATGTGGGGATTCTTGTGGGGGCCGTCTCGTTGATTCTTGTGAGGCCGTCTCACATCATGGGGATTCTTGTGGAGGCCGTCTCAGATGTGGGGATTCTTGTGGAAACCGTCTCCAGATGTGGGAGGTTCTTGTGAGGGGCCGTCTCAGATGTGGGGATTCTTGTGGGGGCCGTCTCACATGTGGGGATTCTTGTGGAGGCCGTCTCACATGTGGGGATTCTTGTGGGGGCCGTCTCAGATGTGGGGATTCTTGTGGGGGCCGTCTCACATGTGGGGATTCTTGTGGAGGCCGTCTCACATGTGGGGATTCTAGTGGAGGCCGTCTCAGATGTGGGGATTTTATTTCCGAGACTCCCTTATGGAAAAAGTCATTTAATATTGAGAATTACCTTCTGATTTAAAGATTCACTTAAGGAAATGAACGAATTAATGCTGAGGAAATTTCATCTGAATTTGGTATTAATGTGGGTGGGATTTTTTTTTAAGCAACTGGGAGTGAGTTAGAGGTGAGTTTTAGTTTATATACAACTACTATTACTACTACTACTACTACTACTACTACTACTACTAATAATAATAATAATAATAATAATAATAATAATAATAATAATAATAATAATAATAATAAATCGAATTTTTTCCGAATCTGAAAATTTTAATTCATAAATTCTTAGGTCGCAATTATAACCACACACACACACACACACACACACACACACACACACACACACACACACACACACACACACACACACACACACTATCAACCCTCTCCCATTATACAGTACAGAATATATACCATTCCCATCACTTAACCCTCACTCCCACACCCATTCCCATCACACCAATTCCTCCCTCTGCATCCCACACCACAAACCGGTTATAGAGAAGGGGTAAAGGGTGCAAGAGGAGAGAGTAAATGAGGGGAATAGGGAGAGGGGACAAAAACAGACTCACACGGTTAAATGGAAATGGGGAAAGACAATTGGGAAAGCCATTATCATAGTGAGGGGAAAGAGGGTGACGGTCGTTGGGCAATTAGTCAAAAGAGCTGTTATTGTCCTTGGTTGTTATTTGAGGTTAACATGCTAACTGGTGATTGGGTGGTTTGGGTGGTAGGGGATTTGGGCTGGAAGAGGCAAATATGGCGGTTTTCCTGCGTTGAGACCTCTACCACTGATGGTGACTCGGGGGGTAGAGAACTGATAGAGAACTGTGCTGAGAGAGAGATCAGTTTATTGAAGTTCAGTGAAGTAAGAGACCGAACACACACACACACACACACACACACACACACACACACACACACACACACACACACACCACAGCCAGAGTAACAAAACGCCAGAGACCTTACATTATATTATTAAACCATTAGGCGGACGTTATATTTAATTTGCTGGTCAGTGTGTGTGTGTGTGTGTGTGTGTGTGTGTGAGTGTGTGTGTGTGTGTGTGTGTGTTTGTTTCTTTTGTTGTCTTAGGAGGTGTTTTAGTTGTTGTAGTGAATGTTGTGGTGGCTGCTATAATGGTTGTAGTGGTTGTTGTTGTTGTAATTGTTGTTATTGATAGGGGGGGTGTTATTCTTGTTGGTGTAGTTGTGATTATTGTGGCTATTGTTGTTGTTTTTCTTGGCCTCACTGTCATACCTTAAGTGAGACAGGTGGGGTCTTTACGTCTCCAGGTACTAGAACATTGTAATTAAGAATCTTTGAGAATCCATTTTGTTTTGTTCTATCGTAAGTGTTTCTAGATACGTTCTCACATCGGCTAATAAGAAAAATTTAACGTGAGAACCTTGAGAATCCATTTTTTTCTCTTAGTTTATGTGGGGTCTATTATGGTCTCAGGTCTCCAGTTACTGTGGAAATTTATCTCAGGGATCCTGTGAGAGTTCATCTTTGTACAGTAGCTTGAGTGAGCCAGGGAGATGCAGAGACACACACACGAGAGGTCTTTTGTTTACCCATCAACCTCTTATAAAGAATCTGGTACGACAATTCCCTCGGGAAATGTACGATAACGTCAAACAAGTGGGTGTGTGTGTGTGTGTGTGTGTGAGTGTGTGTGTGTGAGTGTGTGTGTGTGAGTGTGTGTGAAAGCCTGTCATCAATATCTCCTCCCTCTCTCCCTCTCCCTCCCTTCCTCTCCTCCCTCATGACAGAGTCGTAACAGACCGACTAACATAACAGACGGCACAGACAAACACAGTATCACAGAGCCAATAATATCAACAATAAATTTAACATTATGACACAACCATTTCACTGGGATTTTCTCCTGAAGCACAGATTCCCCCCTCCCCCCCTAGGCAGCAGTACCAAGACGTCCTCAATAAATGTACATTACACTGGGCTGCTTGAGATACGATAATGGTCCATAAATATAGCAAGCCAGTGTTGCCAACCATGTTATTACCGAGTCCTGTATTTTACGGAACTTGTTATGCTGTAATGTTGGAATGTATTTGGTTCAGGAGAGAAAAAGGAGGGAAAAAATACCACCTTTTGAAGTTTGTTGAAGATGTAGTGATAGGATTTATACACCTTTATGAAGTAATAATGATAGTACAGGTATACAGTTCAGGTGTTTAAGTACGTTAGTATTGGCTTAAGTCTTAGGGGTTCCCACTTAAGTATTTAAGTTTCCGCCTTAAGTACAATACAGTAACCCGATCCATAAAAGGTTCTTAAGTTAGATTTTTCTATTAACTACAGGTGTAAAAAAGTAACTCACTGACTCACTTAAGATTCAGAGATTCCCAAAGATTCTTACGTCAAATCTTATCCCCAAAAGTAACTCACTGACTCACTTAACACACAGAGATTCTCAAAGATTCTTACGTCAAAACTTATCCCCAAACTCTAATGTAAAAACGTATCTAACTTACACAAAGATGGCGCGGACAAAATGGCACCAATATTCCACTGAGACTTGACCGTAAACAGATGCATAAGGGCCTCATCTTAAGTTACAGGGAGGAGATAAGTGTGTGTCGTAAGTGTGTCTGTGTGTGTGTGTGTCGTAAGTGTGTGTGTGTGTGTGTGTAGTAAGTGTGTGTGTGTGTGTGTGTGTCGTAAGTGTGTCTGTGTGTGTGTGTGTGTCGTAAGTGTGTGTGTGTGTGAATATGGTTGTTAATGAAGAACGAATGAGACGCAGAGTTCCGCAATTGAATATAGATTTGTGGTTATTGTGTGTGTGTGTGTGTGTGTGTGTGTGTGTGTGTGTTCCAGTGTTTTATCTGTTCCTGCTCACCTGTCTGTTTTTCTATCTATCTATCTATCTATCTATCTATCTATCCAAATGTATTTATACCGGCCCTTCACTTTTAATACATTAATACAAGAATACATCCATTCATACAGCCGTATTACCAACCAATACAGAGGCACCGTAGCACCTGGCCGGGGTCTGGCGTTAATTAAGGGGCAGGGTGGGAGGGAGTTGAGATACCATCACTGAGATAAGGGGCTGACCCATACGACGAGAGAGAGAGAGAGAGAGAGAGAGAGAGAGAGAGAGAGCTCCCCTAGTTAGTGCTGACAACGTTATTAACAGTATATCCCGCTAATTCCGCTATAGAGAGTCTAACTCCGCTATATACGACCCCCCGCCCAGCACTGAACTGCTAATTGCCCTGATTCCCGGTCGAGCTTTTTAACAATTAGGGCGACCTTAATTACCATCTACGGGTAATTAGGACCGCTACTCCAACTGCTGTGACGTAATGTATGGTGATTGGTTTCCCCCTTCTCCCCCTCTAAGTTGTTGATAGCGGGTTCAGGGCGGTTTGCGTACGTGATTGAGTGTTGAGGGTGGTGGGGGGAGGAGGTGTTTGGGGGTGGTGGGGGGGAGGGAGGTGTTTGGGGGTAGTGGGGGAGGGGGAGGTGTTTGAGGTGAAGGAATTGCAGGTTATTCATACGGTGAGGGGTAGAAGGAGTGGGGGGCGTTTTAGTTGGGTGGTAATGTTCTTGAGAGTTGCTGATGGTGAGGATGTAAGGGTGGATACTTACTGTTTGCGCCCCCGTCCGTTTGGTCGCGTCTCCGTCTGTCTGTTCATGCTTCCATCCGTCTGTTCGCGTCTCCGTCCGTCTGTTCGCGTCTCCGTCCGTCTGTTCGCGTCTCCGTCCGTCTGTTCGCGTCTCCATCCGTCTGGTCGCGTCTCCGTCCGTCTGGTCGCGTCTCCGCCCGTCTCTCCGTCCGTCTGCGCGTCCGAACCTTGTCAACACGGTAACATGAACAAGTTGTAGTGTATTTTAACCCAACATGGCGAGAGGATGTATGACAAGAGCTCACACACGAGTTCTGTAATCAACATTTTCTGTCGTCATTTCTGGAAGTTATGGGTTATTGGGCGCGGTGGTGGGGGACCTGTAGCCTCCACCTTTAAGACAACAGCGAGGAGGAAAAAAACATGTTTCTTAATTTCGTTGTTGTCTAAAGCAGGAGGCTGGTGTTTAAAGTCACTGGTCGCTGAAGTAGGCTACCTGATTACATTAAAATAATAACAACAGTGTCAGCGTCAACAACAACAGCAACAACTTGTACTAGCAACTGTTTCAATAAGAAAGGGTGATGGTGGTAGTGTTACTGGTGGTGGTATGGCAATGGTAGTGATAGAGGTAGTGATGGTGTGTGTGTGTGTGTGTGTGTGTGTGTGTGTGTGTGTGTGTGTGTGTGTGTGTGTGTGTGTGTGTTTTTGTTTTTTGTGTTTTTTTTGTAGAGAAAGGAGGGGTGAAAGAAGATTATAGGTGGGGGAAGGAAGTTATATTCGGAAAATTGAAGAAATTTAGGAGGAGGTAAGAGAGGGCGGGCTGACCACCTAGCTAAGCTAATAGTGTGTCAGGGTTGTGTCATGGGTTAGTTATTGTCAGTCGGTACAGGCACTAGACATCCTACCCTATCCCATATATGGGTGTTTTGAGGGCCTTATTACATATTCCACCGACCCTACTGGCGGATGTTGGTCTAGGGAGGTTGTCTATTGCCTGGCCGTATAGATCGGGGGTGGTAATGGACCTTTTGAGATTTGGTAACTTTTGGGGAACCATGTATGGTTGTTGTCGTTATCTGGCGGGAGTCTTTGAAGGAGTTCTTGCTCTGATCGTTCTATCTTTTACCAGACTCTGCTGGCCAGGGTGTGCAGCTGCTGGTTGATGGGTTTCATTCTCAGGTCTCTCTGTATCTCGGCTGTGGTTCTGGTGAAGGGGTATCTTTCACCTGTGACGAGTCTTAGGGCTTCATTTTGGACCACCTGTAATTTTAATATTTGAGTGGTGCTCATAGTATGAAGAGGTACTGCTGGGTAAGTTAATATCAGTGTGATAAATGATGTCACCAGGCGGAGTTTTATTTTCTCAGGAAGCGCTTTAAAGCGGGAGGTGGTGGTCGGGGCGGGAGGTGGTGGTCGGGACGGGAGGTGGTGGCAGGGGCAGGAGGTGGTGGCCGGGGCAGGAGGTGGTGACCGGGGCGGGGGGTGGTCAAGGTAACTTATCGTCGATAAAGACAATAATCAGACTGAGTCACTTCATTACCTGGCCTTTACCTGGTCATTATGTAGATCTCCGGCTGCTGGTGTGTGTGTGTGTGTGTGTGTGTGTGTGTGTGTGTGTGTGTGTGTGTGTGTGTGTGTGTGTGTGTGTGTGTGTGTGTGTGTGTGTGTGTGTGTGTTTACGTCGTCTCAGCTGTGTGCGTCAAACACTTATGAATGTATATTTTCTTATGTGTGTTTACATTGAATACTTGGCCTCTTGGCTGTGTGTGTGTACCATCTATGTGCAGAACCTATGTATAACAAACTCCTATGTGTACCAAGAAGCCAGCTATAAGCACGTACATAATTATAAACTCTACACTCATGTACACATAACACCCCTTGATTAGAGTGAGGTGTTTGTGTGTTGGGGGTAGCGTAGGTGTTTGTGTGGTGGTCGTGTACGTGTGTGCATTAGACGTTAGCGTACATCAACATGTATGTACACAGGCCTTCCTCAATTATCTTTAAGGGGTCTAATTTGCATATGGCTGTAGATACTTCCCCCTTACCCTTAGTCATCTCAGCCACTCTCCCTCCCTACCCATTTTTGCCCTTATCGTGGCTTCCCCATTCCATAGCCTGTACTTAGTTTCCTCCCCACCTACCCATCTCTCTCCCACACACACACACACCCCTCTCCCCTATATACACCCCCTTACCCCCTATAACCCATCACACCCCATCCCCCACCCTCCATACACACCCTGCCTCCTGACCACACACACACCACACACACACACACACACACACACACACACACACACACACACACACACACACACACACACACACACAGTACGCGGAATCAAACTTTTCCGTCTTTGAAAAGTTATTGATTTTACTATATTGTGTTACTTGTAGGGGCGAGCCTCTCTCTCTCTCTCTCTCTCTCTCTCTCTCTCTCTCTCTCTCTCTCTCTCTCTCCTTTCTTACTTGTTTTGTTTTTTCTTCCTCCTCCTATTTTTCCTCTCCTTCCTCCTTTCTCTCCCCTCTTTCCCTTTCTTTTCCCTCTGCCTTCACCTCCCTCCTTCTCTTCTTCTTACTCTCCTTCCCTCTTCCTCTTCCTCTCCTCCCTCACTCTCCTCCCACACCCCCACTCTCCTCTTTTCCTCCCACACCTCACTCTCCTCCTCCTCCTGTCTCACCTCCTCCCTCCTTGTCTCCCTCACTCTCCTCCTCCCTCCTTGTCTCCTCACAAACAATAAACTCCCCGTGTTTTTTGATTAAGTGAAATCTTATATTCCTTTTTGTGTGGCGATAACGATGACCCAATGTAGCGGGGTGATGGGTGCTGTAGCAGGGTGATGGGTACCGTAGTAGGGTATGGGTGCTGTAGCAGGGTGATGGGTGCCGTGGTTAGGGTATGGGTGCAGGGTGATAGCAGGGGTGCTGTAGCAGGGGTGATGGGTGCTGTAGCAGGGGTGATGGGGTGCTGTAGCAGGGTGATGATGGTGCTGTAGCAGGGTGATGGGTGCTGTAGCATGGGGGTGATGGGTGCTGTAGCAGGTGGATGGGTGCTGTAGCAGGGTGGGTGATAGCAGGGTGATGGGTGCTGTAGCAGGGTGATGGGTGCTGCAGCAGGTGATGGGTGCTGTAGTAGGGGTGATGGGTGCGTGGGGTGGGTACAGAAAGCAGGGTGATGAAGCAGAAGGGGGTGATGGGTGCCAGAAAGGGGTGATGGGTGCTGTAGGGGTGATGGGTGCAGGATGGGTGCAGCAGGGTGATGGGTGCTGTAAAGAGTGATGGGCTGTGCAGGTGATGGGTGCTGTAGCATGGGGTGGGTGATGGGTGCTGTAGCAGGGTGATGGTGCTGTAGGGTGATGGTGCTGTAGGGGTGATGGGTGCTGTAGCAGGGTGATGGGTAGTAGGGTGATGGGTGCTGTAGCAGGTGATGGGTGCTGTAGCAGGGTGATAGCTGTAGGGGTGATGGGTGCTGTAGCAGGGTGATGGGTGCTGTAGCAGGGTGAGCGGGTGATGGGTGCTGCAGGGGTGATGGGTGCTGTAGCAGGGTGATGGTGCTGTGGCAGGGGTGCGGTGGTGTGGGTGCGGTAAAGCAGGGTGATGGGTGCTGTAGCAGGTGATGGTGCTGTAGCGGGTGATGCGGGTGCTGGGTAGCAGGGTGATGGGTGCAGAGCAGGGATGGGTGCTGTAGCGGGTGATGGGTGCAGCAGGTGGATGGGTGCTGTAGCAGGGGTGATGGGCAGCAGGGTGATGGGTGCTGTAGCGGGGTGATGGGTGCTGCAGCAGGGTGATGGGTGCTGGTAGCAGGGTGATGGGTGCTGTAGTAGGGTGATGGGTGCCAGCAGGGGTGATGGGTGCTGTGAAGCAGGGTGATGGGTGCTGTAGCAGGGGTGATGGGTGCAGGGTGATGGGTGGTGCAGAGCAGCAGGGTGTGATGGGTGCTGTAGCAGGGGTGGG